GAGCCACGAAATCAGTTCGGGGGCTCAAATTCAAACCTTACGAAGAGCGCCTCCAATCACTTAACCATTACCCGTTAGAGTACAGGCGTCTTAGAGGTAAACTTCTCACGACTTACAATATCCTTAATACTTCTGGTCATCCCCTTAAACATCTTCTTAAGCTTAGTCATAACACTAACCTAAGAAGTAACATTCAGAAATTGGAGACCCTATATAGCAGAACAGACTACAAACACAACTTCTACTCCGTTAGAGTTGCTGGAATTCGCTGCCGACTGAGCTAGTACAAGGGACCTCCCAGGAGTCCTTTAAGAGGAAACTTGACTTATTCTTAAGGACTAAGGATAACATATTATTATGATTTACCAAATTCTTTTTTTCCTCTATTATCGTTCATCTACCTAAGTTTTTGCCTGGAAGCATTGGTGATCCCCTGCTACTAGACACGGGATCCCGTTAAGTGAAAGCTTTTTCTATTCCGTCCTCAACTACGCGCGCTATTTAAAAAGGACAGTGGTATTTTTCCTCGTTGAGTAAATTCTATTGTTTTGATCGTTATTAACGTATCAAGACTACTGTTTTTATACTTTGATTGAATTTCTTTCAGTTAAAGTATTCTATTAGAGTATCATCTTTGGTATCCTAAATAGTTTTATCGTCGGTACTCCAGAGTACCTTTGCTTTTCTATTGTGTCTGTTAGTACTTTGGTCCTAACTGTTTATAGTTTTTTTTTCTACTTATAGTCAACACTCACTTTCGCATCTTAAAATGACTGGAAGATGCAACAAAAGCATTTGCCACCGCCCAGGATGTCGATATCCTGTTGATAGCGGCATGCAGTGCGATGAGTGCAAAGGTTGGTACCACGATGTTTGCACGAATCTAACACCTGCAGCTTTCAAGCGGTTTAGTAAAAATGGATGTGTATGGCTATGTCAACAGTGCTGTTTGGATGCAAATAGCCTGCTAACCGAGGCCATTTCAATAGTAAATGCCGCAAAAAAGTGTCTCGGCAAGCGCGGTCGGGATACATCAGTCACAACTCAATCTGTCGACACGCAGATTGACACAAGGCAGGCCCAAGTGAGTCCAAAAACTGCCGACCCACACCCTACTAAGGAGGAAGAACATCCTCCAAAGAGGACTGTTACAACCAGAAACTCGCGCAAAAAAGTCTCTTCTGTCCCTCGTATCAAAAATGGTACCCAGAAGGGAACTTTTGGAAGCCGAAACCGCAAGGCTCGATCGGTTTCCAGCGCGAAAGATGACCCAATCTCCCAAGTCGTCCTGACTCTTCCGGAATCCCACAGTACGCCTGACGCGAATGTGGTTACCACTCCAAAGAACGTTGGCGATTGGGTACGGGTCGTAAGAAAAAAACGCCAAAATGACGTAAAAGGAAATCATACCCCCACCAAAAGGGTCGACAAGCCGAGGTCTGATCACAGCGACAGATCAGTCATTCTCCATAGAGTCAAGGAGAGTGACAACTTAGAACCGAAAGCTCGTTTTGAGCATGACATTGTGTTGATAAAACAACTACTCAACCAAGTTATGCCCACAAACATCCCCGGAGTCACCTTGCTAAAGGTGTATAGATTAGGAAATCTAGCGCATCTGAAACCAAATCAGTCTAGACTACTCAAAGTCGTTTTCAAATCCTCAAACGAACGCGACTTAATCTTAGAAAATGGACACAAATTAAAGGGTTCAGGAGTTTTTCTCCGTAAGGACTTACCGTTGGCGGACCGTGTTAAAAGACGGGAAGCCGAAAAGGAACTACAGCTCAGATTAGACGCTGGCGAAAAAGACCTGAAAATTGTAAATTTTCGGGTTGTGAGGCTTCGACAGAGGATGATGCCGAAGCCACTCTGGGTGAAGCACGAGGCCACCTAAATAAGCTTCGGATCTGTTATACCAACGCCCGGAGCTTACTAAATAAGCTACCGGAACTAGGTGTACAGATTGACTCAACTAGGCCAGACATAATCGCAGTCACAGAAACATGGCTGACGCCGTCTATAGATAGTAGGCAACTTGATTTCGAGGGTTTTACATTGGTAAGGGCCGATAGAATACAAACGCGTAAAGGAGGGGGAGTAGCTCTATTCATTAGGAATGCTATTCCATTCACCATTATCGACAGTGTATCCCATGAGAGTGGGACGTATGAATTAGTTTGCTGCCGCCTGAAATGCAGGGGACAAGAGTTACTACTTAGTTTGATCTATCGCAGTCCAAGCTGTGGGGCAAACGAGGTCCTGCTAAGCAGTCTCAACACTTTATCACGAAGTGATCGATGTCTAATCCTAGGGGACTTCAATGCACCCATGGTGGACTGGGGAAATCTTCGGACTGAATCGTCAGCAAACTCCTTCGAACAGGAACTAGTTGATGCGATAATCACTTGTGCTCTAGTGCAACACGTGAAGGAAGCAACTAGGTACGACCCGGGTTCTGCATCATCCTTACTAGATCTTATATTGACTCATTATGAGGATGATGTTGCAAACCTGGATTACATGCCACCCCTAGGCAAAAGTGATCATGCAGTTTTAAGCTTTGACTTCCATATAACTGTCGATCACGAGTACGCTTCAGCTCAATCCAGACCTAACGTCTGGAAAGCAAACATAGCAGACATCATGAAATCAGCATCATTAGTAGATTGGAAATTAGATCCAGAGTCATCAATCGAAACGGCTTGGGACGTATTCCGGAATTTATACTTAAAAGTTACCGCCCCCCACATCCCTTGGACTACACCTAAGAGACCGAGAAACTCCCCACGGTGGTTCAGTAGGGAGGTTCTCATCTTTCTCCGTAAAAGAAGGAAAATGTGGGACAGATTTAGGTTACTGGGGACTGACGAGGCGAAATCTCAGTATCAAAAGGCTCGAAATACCTGTGCCTCGACCCTCCGTAAGGCCAGAAAGCTGTACGAAGAGAAAATCGTAAGGGAATCCATAGAATGCCCTAAACGCTTGTATTCGTATATAAACCAAAGGACAAAAAGAAGAAATGTTCCTTCATTATGGGGAGACAGTACTGCCACATCACTAGTGGAGGATGACTTTGGCAAAGCTCAAGTATTCTCTAAATACTTTAGCGGTGTATACACCATAGAAACACCCTTCTCACCAGTCCATGAAAATCCACCCACACAAGCACTGGACAGCGTAACCATTGAAGAAGTCGATGTTTTTGGTCTGCTAGTTAAGCTTGACATAGGTAAATCCACTGGACCCGATGAACTGCATCCTAGGTTACTAAAGGAATTAGCTAACTTTGTTGCGAACCCTTTAAGTGTATGTTTTAATCTATCCGTAACCCAGGGTCGTCTACCAAAAGACTGGAAGAACGCCATAGTAAGTCCAGTCTTCAAAACAGGTACAAAACATAAGCCTGAGAATTACCGACCAATTAGCCTAACTAGTGTGGTTGTTAAAATCTTAGAAAAGATTATTCGGAAGGAACTGTTAAAGTATTTCGATGAAAACCGGATCCTCTCCGAAAAGCAGCATAGTTTTAGAACAGGTTACTCTTGTCTCACAAACTTATTAGTCGCTCGTGAAAGCTGGTGCGCTCTTAAGGACCAAAAATTACCTATAGACGTAGCTTACATCGATTTCAGCAAAGCCTTCGACAAAGTTCCGCATAACCGGCTGTTATATAAGCTAAGGAATGTCGGGATTGGAGGCAATCTATTGATGTGGATAAAAGACTTCCTAGTTGGGCGTCAACAAAGAGTAAGGGTGAACTCCAAGTTGTCTAGCTGGGAAACTGTGCTTAGTGGAGTCCCCCAAGGTACAGTTTTGGGGCCAGTGTTATTCCTCCTGTACGTAAATGATCTCCCTCGTCTACTATCGTCATCGGTCTTACTCTATGCTGATGATGTCAAGATATGGAGAGCGATACAAAGCAAGAGCGATAGCTTAGAACTTCAAAATGACCTGGAGAGATTATCTGAATGGTCCCAAACCTGGCAATTGCCGATAAACACTTCCAAGTGTATTGTGATGCATATTGGCCATCAGGGTACAGATACATACACGATGAATAACACTGAGTTACCTATTGTTCAGGCACACAATGACTTAGGCGTCATCGTTAGTCAAGACTTAAAGACTACTGCACACTGCCGTGCAATAGCCGCCAAAGGTTTTAGGACTTTATGGTCCATACGCAGGGCTTTTAGGCATCTTGACGCTAAAACGTTTCTGACTTTGTATACAGTGTTCGTACGCCCTAAACTTGAGTACTGTATACAAGCAGCTAACCCCTGCCTAAAAAAGACAGTGAACTCTTGGAAAGAGTTCAGAGAACAGCAACTAGGCTGATTCCCGGAATAGCGAAGCTCCCGTATGGTACTAGACTGACCAAGCTAAACCTATTCCCGCTGTCATATAGAAGAATCAGAGGTGACTTGATTATAGTTTTCAAATTGCTAAATGACAAATTTGCACCTGATATGCCCTCATTTTTCTTGTCTTCCAAAACAGAAAATCTACGAGGACACTCCAAAAAAGTTCACAAGCCCAGAACGAATTACTTGTCAGCTGACTACCGACTTTCCCATCGAATAATCAACGAGTGGAATTCATTACCTCAGCACGTGGTTGAGGCTCCATCCGTCGACTCCTTCAAAATAAAGTTGGATCAGCTGAGAGACCATCATTGCCAGGACTAACACAGGCCACCAAGCCTCCTGTCCTTTCCAAACTGAAACTGAAACTGAAACTGATTTGAACCATTTGAACTGACACTTCTCTTCTGTTTACTTATGACTTCAGTGATCTGTATTTCAAGGAAACGCCTATATATTTTTGCTACATGCAGAGTCTTTCTAAGCACATGCCTATTACATTCCACTCAAAATCATTTGAACCATTTGAGCTCTCTGATTGTTTGGATGTTTCAAAAATATTTGTCCACAATTGCGCCAGATACACGAGGTGCGTTACTTCATGTTCGCACAGGCTCATAGGCATTTGTAGTAATGTCAGACAAGATTGATAGTCTGCGCTGCTTATCCCAACCGCTTATTCATTTAAATGGAAAAATAAACTCGACACCAGTATCACTGCCAACTCTCAGTTTACTAAACGACAATTCCCGAAACAGTGTTGACTTCGATAAAGTTCACCTTTCTCTTAGCGTACTAAGATTGGACCCGGCAGATCGCGCAGTAATAAAAATCGCAGGTAGCTTCAGCTATTCAATCTTATTATTTTTTATTTTTTGTGATCGTCATTTATTTCATCCTCATTCTGTGTACGATTTCATCCCTTTCGGTGTATTAACTAAGTCAATTTTCCAATATCAGAAGCTACAATTCGTTAGCTCTGAATAATTAAACCATCTGCGACATTTGAACACACCTCTTGTCTTCTGTAGGACTTCTGGTTTTGGAAAACCTAATTCCTGACATCATAAAGAGCTTCATAGTAGATAACCATCAATTTTCATCATGTAATATAGCTGTTTGTTTGCCAACTGTAGGAGTAAATAAAAACTAGTCATATTAAAGTATCCAAATTTCTCACAATATATATATATTACATATTTCGGAACTATAAATATAATTTCTCTTGACAATAGTAATATATACTGATCTCCAGAGAGTTTTAAACCTCAGTGACGTGGAGGTTTCGTAGTTAATATATTAGGTCGTTAACAAGTGTACAGACAATCTTCGTCAAGTGAAACCTCTTGGCAAAATGTAGTCCGTGTTTGTATGGGACGAAGTACTTGAGGAGTGTTTTCTAATATTTTCGTCCAACTACGTCATAAATATGCTTCTATCCATGAATATGTTTTTCTGTTCAGCCTTGCCTTCCTAACCTCACACGGAAGTTGTCTGTGATGAATAGTATTTGACCTGTTTTGAGGAATCTGGTCACCTGCTGGTGAACATTTCTTTCATACGAGGTACAGTCATTTGCTATGTATACGGACTAAAACATTTTTATGCAACATAATTTCCCTATTTTCGGCTACTACTCGGTTAGAGTATGGAGATTAAGTACTGAGATCTTAACTACTCAGGGTGAGTTGTGATGATTGACTGTTGATTTAGTGAGGTCAAGTAATTAGGAAAATCAATGTTACAAACAGTATAGGACTTGACACAAATATGTCTTTGCAATTGGCAACAGTTCACATAAGCACATTGGGACAGATGGACGATTGAGGGTTATTCTAAGTATAACTATATGGTTACTTGTTAGGCTGCGTTTTGTATGTACAGTTACGGTTCATTGGTTTACAAACGTGAATCATAAGTTCCACTCTCACTCTATTTATGGATTGATTTACTTGCATAAGTATTCATATGTACGTAATTTTTGCAGCATATCTTTCAAAATTATTTTAGTTTAATGAAGTATTGTTTTAAAGGTCTAAATCAAGATTATTGTTACTTATTACGATATATCGTTATTTTGTTGGTAAAAGCTTAACTTTATGGTTCGATCATTGAGATACTACCAAGCCACTATCAGTAGCTTTATTTCTCACATTGTAAAAAGCTGGTGTTATTGAACTTGACGTAAGACGTAGTGAGTTAGACATACTCACTGTCTTCTCGTGGTGGGAGTGTTGTTTGCGAAATTAAGAGGACAAAAAGCAAATGTCCGGCGCTTTAACCGGGCCGGTGGACACGGCGAGTCCACCTAGGGGAGTTGGGAAACCCTGGTTCCAAACCAATGGTGTACATGGGCTCTAGTACCCTGAGGGAACAAACGGCATATGAACCAATTGTTGGTCGCCGGTTAGTATGAGACTGTATCTCTTCACAATGCTCTACTGCCATGTGGTTCTGACCTTTAGGTCAAAGGCTAGGGGTGTGGCCCCCTAAGAGAACCACCTGTTTCGGTCTGGGCACCCGGGCAATATCATAGCCTTCACACAATTAAAATGAAATGACAACTTTTTGTGTGACGCACATATATCTGGTGCTTCCTTGTACCAATATTTGTGTTCAAACAAATAAATAAATAGTGATTTCTGAGAATTATGACTAACAATTAGGTCCAAATTGACTGGATAGTGAGAGACCTACTAACTGATTTCCTCCAGTCCCCTATGAAATTTTTACCATGTTTGTTTCGTGTTACCATTTCACATGTGAACTTGCATCTTATTTCACTGGATGTCTGTTCTTCTGGCTCATGATCTTGTCTTCGATTTCAAATCATTTGGTGGGTTACTTTTATATTCTGGTCTCATAAATAGCCGTCACTCAACCATAGATTACTTCGTTACATTTCCTTTCATTTTAATAAACGAAAATTCTGTTCAGAAAACAATAAAATCCACCTCAATAACGTATATATGTAATTATTTTTGTATATACCTGATTTTTCATTGTTGTCTACATTTAATGTTTTATATACAAACAAATGTGTATGTTTTTTAGAAATATATGGTTCTTACCTTTTGTTTTCGAAATTTTTTATTAGATGAACGTGATGCCATACAAAAGAAAGCCTTCACCAATTGGGTTAATCAACATTTGGTTAAGGTAATTATCATTATTGGTTGTTCTTCGCAGTTATCGTTAACTACAACTTGGCTAGTTTTGTATGGTAGGGACTTTGTACTTTTCTCACTTTTAAGAGTCTTATCGATATTTTAAAAGGGCCACGTTTCAGTAATGGGAATAAACGGTATTAACTGATGTTCACATGTTCATTTTTCCGATTTGCATTACAGTCATCTTAACTTATGTATTCGTATTTTTTGCTTACTTGAATAAATGCTGACTAGTGTCGGGGATGATTGAAAGAGAGTCAGGAGCGTCCAGACCAAAACGTAGCATCAGTGCTTGAAGTCACTAACTTCTAGTCTGAGCCGTGTTAGTAGACGTAGACTGCTTGATTAGAGACTGTGTGACATGGTTCGGAATCAATCACATTGGTGTAGGTGTGTACACTCTCTGTCTTCCCTTAAACTATGAGATTAAAATTGATTCATATCTTTCTTTTTTCCTGTACTATATCATTATACACGCTTTTTTATATATTACCACCATTAAATTAGCTACTTTTATGAATTTGGTGTTCATCTTGTGCTAATGAAGTATGGCAACTTGGACCGATGCATAAATGTGCCTGGTCCCTGACTAACTGACTGCTTACTTGAATTAGGTTCATTTGCTGTAGTAATGAAGTAGCGGTACTGTCTGTAAAAAACCGAAAGATGCAAATACAAACATTGAATATATTGTATGGGTAGCTGTACAGGTAGGAAGTAATTTCCTACAGATGCAATTTTAAACTGTTCTCTAGACTGTCGAGCACAGAGTCCTAGCTTACTTGTCCTGACTTTGACTAAGCTAAGACTCTGTGCTCGACAGTCTAGGGTATAGTTCAGAATTACATCTGTAGGAAATTACTTCCCACAATCTATTTGTCACTAAGCATTGAAAAACATCTCAAATGGCGAGAAATATTTACTATTTTAATGAAATAAGTCGTATTGTAGCAAGTCACGGTAGTGTAATGATCTTCATAGTAGTACTAACATCCAATTTTGTAGCGATAATTCTTAATTAGAAGTAGTATAAAGTCGGCTCAGGTTATTGGACCATTTAAATACAGACCATGATGGCTTCATTACAAAATTTAAAAAACGGTGCATAATGTACTGCTTTCATAAAGTAAACACTAAATGTTTTCAAGATCGTTCATAATCATATAAGAAAAAACGAAAATGTCTAATTACTCAAACTGCATCCAACTTTTTATATAAGCAATGGTATGAGGTGTATGTATCACCTCATTGCTGATATTCAACAGTGAATTTCGATCAGCCGTTTTGAGTATACGTGTTGTCTCATGTGCCACCTAAGACTAATCGGAATTCCGTTTTGAATATCAACTATTGGTTGTACAAATGATTACTAATAATATGGCTGTTCGACAGTTTATCTAGGCTTCAGCATTATTTATTTATCCTGTGAATAAACTTATTATTTTTAATTGATTGATCACTCAGTAGTGATCGATGTCATGTGTATCAAGTCCTTCTTAGTATTGATGGAATTCTATTGCTCTAAATGCAATGTGGCCACTAGCCTAAATGACTCAAAATCGCGTGCGCTATGTCCAAATATCTCAGCCCTACTCAAGGCCACTGACGACCCCGACAGCTTGGTGGTGAAGTCTCTGACTATGAGGCTGGTGAACATCGGTTCTTTCAAAATTACAGATGCATCTTGCTGACGAGTGCCAACTAGTATGAGATATAGGTCTAGGATTTCTTGTCGACTACCTCTAACCAACACTTTACAACATTATTATTATGTGAAAATTCATTATATATATATATGGTTAAATATTTTTTGTTTTCAAAATTATTTATCAAATGTGTTTTTATATCACTTGACTGGTAGTACACAGATAGATAGATATATTGTATATGAACACATACCTTTGTTATCGATCAAAACTCAGAATGAATCAGTTGGTCATCATACTTCATGCCACAGAGCTTTTTTTATTAAAAAAAACCATACATTCAAAACGAATGCCTGATTTGTCAGTTATTTTTATCACAACACCTTAATAATCATTATAATTTTTTTCTAGCACTTCAGTTAAATCCTACTAATACATAGATAACATGTTATACAAGCATCATTCGTTTTTCTGTCAATAATATGTTTATATTATAACTGGTGAATCGAATTGACCAGTTTAATGTTCAAAATACGATTTAAAATTTCTGAAACACAAGTAAAATGATTAAGCTACATCTGGAAATTCTATATAGTTGCAACTTCATTCGACTTTGTTTTATGTAATCAACTAGAGTTTCTGTTCCACATATAATAGTGAATGTACAGTCAGTGGATGTGTTTATTTGAATTTTTCATGTTTGCTAATGGTTCTTTCACTCATGTTCACAATAACGTTTGTGCCTGTTTATTATTAATTATACGCTAATAAAAATCATTATAATGGGACATTAAATGGAACTGCTTAGCATATAGTCATGATCATTTTCTCTTTGCTACTTCTATAAATATATGACTTCAGATTATTTTTGATTTATGGAAGATCTGGTTAATTTTATATGTTTAATTATGAACCACTAATTAATTGGTAAAAGATCACATGGAATATATAATAGTTTCCAGCTAGCTAGTTGTGCACAAACAGTTTGTATAATTTTGACTGTTATTTTAATAATTTTCTTCCAAGTCTAACATTTAAAAGTTGAAATTTTAGAGATCTGTGTTATTGATATATCGTAATAGCTTTTTCATACTAAATTATCTTAACGGCCATTATTTTTTTTGAAATAGCGCATGTCATTTACGACGTTGGTACCATTCAAAACATTGCCAACAGGCATTGGTAACTTTGCAGTTCAAAGATAACACTTAAATATATGTGATTATAGAAACCAGTTCTATGGAGATTTACCTAATTTCGACAACTTCTTAAGATTTTTAGTCATTTAAAAGCAACTATAAATTGTTGCTGTATCATATACCATTCGTGTTCATTAAAAACTTATTAATATCCAATATACGCTATATATTTTTGGCAAAAAGAATACTAGTACAAAAGTGTTAATAATTCAAATGACACCAATCAAATTGAAAAGAAACGATTATGTAAGATGAGTTGAACAAAATAATGGTTTTATCTTAATAAATAAACAACAAATAAGTTTGTTAGGTGGTGGCACTTGTCATCAAGACATACCTGATAAGTACTGAAAGTATAAAACAGGATTTCGTTCGATACTTTTTTGTTTACTAACTTCAACCACTTAATATCTCAACATAGTAAACACTGTGCCAAGTTACTTAGACTAGTGACTATATTGCAACCTGATCTACAGATTTTGATCAGCACTAACATATATGGTATTGGTCACTTATCAGTGACCAATCAGTTGTAAATAAATAGATTTACTTCATATTATTGACATGAGCATAGTCTTATCCCTTTTATTGTCTCGCTATCATTCTGATAGCGGGTATAACGTGCCAATACACAATATGTTTGCCAAAAGATTTACAGTGAATGTCTGGTCGTTATGTGTTTTTTCTCAAAAAATCTATAGAATAACTATATTCTTGTGATACAAAAAGGTACCGTTAATCCTAAAGTAATGACGCATTTCTTATTTTTCTAAACATTCCTTTCGTTATTTTAATTACGATAACTGGAAGAGTTTAGATAAATTCTTAAACCAGTTTGTGACAACGAAGAATTTCAAATTTCAGAATTGTTTTACTGTTATCCGTGTTTGTTTCATTCAATTGATGAACGCAATGGAATTGGTTTGTGCATTTTAATGAGTACATTCAATGGAGTTGAAGACTAAATTATTATTTTTTTAACTACTTACAATAGTATTCATATACACAAATGAAAAAAAAATTACGGAATCCTTCAAGCTACCTAATTTATTTTATATGAAGTATGACTTGTGTTTATAACATAAAAGATGTGTGATATGATAGACCATTACATAATGTAAATCTGAAGACTGTCGTAAAGTATTAGAAAGAGAAAAGTAGTGTAGTGGAAATATCAACAGAACGTATGTAAAGATTTATTTAAATTAGAAACACAATCAATATAAATTTTGTCTAGTTAGGTGATGGATTATAAGATTTTTAAAAACGGTCCTCTTCGCTTTCTACTCTTAACCATTTACTGCATTATTTTAAGCCGCTATGATACATTGTTTCTACATTAATCAAATAGCATTCATCAGTTAATAACTGCTAGAAGTAGTTATACTAGTTCTTACACCAACTATGGATATTGACTTGATGAGTGTCTCCTTACAACATATCTTTCTTTGACCATTTATTTATTATTTATTTAAACACATATATATTGGTACAAAAGGGCACCAGATACATATGCGCCACACAAAATAATGAAAGTAGGAAAAGGGATGAAAAGATAAGGCGGACTGAAATGTACAACCAGAAGACTCTTTCAGTTAAGAAAGTTAGAACCACTCTTTATGTAGAAAGTAAAAGAAGGTTACAGCAGGTTCGCCACTGACTTCTATTTTGAGCCATATCTGATAACGTCTCTAGCCACTGTGTTGCACCATCTCTCGGACCCCTGCCAGGGAGTCGTGAAGGACCAACAGAAGCTAGCCCTTTGCAGCTTTCTTTCATGCCACGACATCATGTCATACACTGACCTCCTCTCCGCTTTCTCCAACCGGCCCCCAAATGCCCTGGTACGGCCGAGAGTGGGGAGAGTCACCTCTCCCTCTCGAAATGCTCTCATATGGCCAGCGACTTTATAGCCTCTGCCAGGGAAGTCCTACTCACTGCCTTCTCGTGGCGGGGGTGTTGTTTACGAAAGTGAGAGGACGAAAAGCGAATGTCCGGCGCTTTAACCGGGTTGGTGGACACGGAGAGTCCACCTAGGGGAGTTGGAAAACCCTGATTCCAAACCAATGGTGCACATGGGCTCCAGTATCCTGATGGAACGAATGGCGGACGAACCTGTCATTGGCCAACGGCTACCATGGGAC